CTTTTACTTCTTAATTTCTACAACCCATTGTCATAAATTACCTACCAGAAACGTTTAATTACGTTATCAGAAATAATACACAAAAAAAAAGGAATATACATATATTTATGGACATAAGCTGCAATAAAGCGAATAAAGTCGCCTACAAAGCTAGAATGAATATAAATCAAATTGTTTACAAAAAGTCGCTGGCAAAATGCGACGTCTTTGAACACAGATCACACATGTATGTATTTGCGAAACTTTGCGAACTCGGAACGTCGCGTCTGTTTGTGAAGATTTCTTTTCAATCCGACTCTTGTTGAACAATTTAAAATCAAATAACTGTGCAATTGTGACTTTGTTGTGATGTATTTGGGTATTCCTTTACTAGATTTTATTTATTTACATAACATAACTGAAAAAAATATTTACTCTTGTACATCGGCGGACTTAATGTCCAGGGCATTCTCTTTCAGTCAACCTTTAGGTGGTGTAGAAACCATTAGTGGTAAGCGCACATAAGTAGCATTATTATTCAAATAAAATATATACTACATAATACTACATATTTGAATCTATATACACTTAGACAGCCTATATATATACTCGTATATATATTTCATCAATCATCATCAACCGCCTTTACTAATCCACTGCTGGACATAGGCCTCTTCTTAGAAAGGAGGTTTTGGCCAATTATACCATGCTGGCCAGACGGGTTGGTATAGGCTTTGTTTCAAGTTTTCCTTCTCTTCGCAGTGCTGTTCTGTAAAGGCGAAAAGGCGACATCGCACTTCTGACTCTTAAATTGTAGGTCTCCATGAGCCGCGGTACTCTCTTTTAAGCAGGTGACTTGTATGCCTATCTACACCATAAAAAAAAGTTCTCAACCCTGGCCTACAACAGTCAACAACAATTCGAACAACTACAGTCTGAGTCTTATTCTCCATCCAAGAATTTTTTGCTTTCACCCTATTTATTATTCTCGTTTTCATTTACCTGCTCTCTTTTTACGGTCGGCTTTAAAAAAGTCAGTATAAACCCGTTGCAATATCTAATCAGACCCAAAAAAAATATGAAAAAGACCAGAATGTTATGATGATGATGATGAATGAGCTTTCTCAAATAAAAGCCTTATAAGCTTTCACGAATACTTCGTTTATAGCTAACAGCTACGTCATAAACTCCATAAATTTCTCGCATAAGGCTTACTTTAAACGAAATACGTAACGTAATACGGTGTGACGTCAATACCCAGCACAGGTGCTCACCGACATTAATATTGCGCCGCCGTACGACTAATATACGCATTATGCATGAACGTCCGCTATTTGACGCACGCACGACAAGCCGCACGTGCGAACGCCGCCTTATAATACTACCTGTTTATGTTTTATTTATGTTGTAAGGGTGATATTACATTAAGCGTTTATTCGTTGACAAGTGGAAGTTAGGTTCTTATTAATATATTTACAAATTTATCTAAGATTCACTCCTAGTCTACTTGGCTAGGAGTACTCGAAATAGTTATGAGATAGGATATAACTACCTAATTTAAAAGTTTATGATATAGATTTCTATATCATAAACTTTTGTAAGTCATTTTTTACTATGTAATACAGGAGTAAGACTTATCAAAAACTATTTTGCATACAGCAGAAGGATAAAATAAGTGTAGTGTACATATGGACATACCTAGAAGACAATTAAAGGGGTACAAGTGACGACCTTAACTTTTACGTTTGCTGTTAAATCTTAGATAAACCTCGCGGTTGATTGTAGGAATCAAAAACTTAAATTTATTAGCTTTTAATACTGTGAAAGTGGCTTTATTTCGAGATCGTAAGTCTAAAGAGATATATCTAATAAGTTTGATTTACATAGAAAATAGACAATCTGAAATGCAATTTTCTATAAACTGTAAAATTTCAGGTACGTTAGGTTATATTCGTCGCTTTTCACGAGTCAGTGAGTTTACCGGCGCTTAAACACTCCACCCTGATTCTAGGCAGGCGGCAATGAATATGTGACTCTTTAGTAGCAGGTGTTCATGGGCGGCGGTAGTCACTTACCATCAGGTGACCCGTCTGCTCGTTTGCCTCCCTATGCCATAAAAAAACGTATACCCGCATTATTTCTATTCAACAAATTATAATTTGACGGGCCTGTTGGCCTAGTGCGTAGTGACCCTGACTGCTAAACCGGCGGTCATGGGTTCGATTCCCACTCAGGAGTAATATTGTGTGATGAGCACGGTCACTTGTTCTGTATCTGGGTGTAATTTATCTATAATATGTATGTATTCAAAAATCTATAAGTATGTTTATCAGCAGTCTGGTTACCATTAGACCTGCCTAGTTTGGGATCAGACGGCGGTGTGAGAGATGTGTGAGATATTATAATACAAGTCTATGCTATGTCTAAATTTAAATCGCTGCATCGCAAATATTGGGTTTAATGAACTTTGGAGTTGCCGTACAACTTTGTATTTGGTAGCATTGCAGGGATTCAGTAGAGGCATGAATAACTGCCTCCTAATCCTGCTATGTAACTAATATCTTGAGCCAGAACTGGCTGCCGAAGGCAGTTGGACTTTCACAACTTTTGCTTAGTTAATGAAGGCTTAGTTTACTTAGAGAAATAATTATATTCCTCATTAATGAGTCTCTTCTAACACAAAATAAAAAACATTGAATATAGTTTTACATGTTTTTGGAAAAAAACTTAAATGATGGTAATTTTCGACAATGTACTGTCTTAATTGCCTTTAATGTAAGTATATCAATAACTTTATTGATACTTGATAGATGTTCGCTATTAAAACGAGTTATTTTTAAAGGACACACGGATTTTCTTATGCTAGTATTCGTTGAAGGTCGCTTCACCCAGGGTCTGAAACAGTAGGTCTCTTCTGACAGGTTATTGATTCTAACGACTGTGTTAGGTTCCTACCAGGGACAAAAAGTGTAATTTATCTACAATTATAAACAGATTTAGTAATATATAATTATGTTTACCAGCAGTCTAGTTTCCATAGCACAGGTTCTGTATATTTTGGGATTTTTGGATTGACTTACGTAACAGTGAAATCTAATTTACAACGCAATACCAAGTTATTACTACACAATATTTTGGCACCAATCCAGCCAATGGAAACATGTTACCAATCACAAGTGCGAAAGTCATAATCGAAGCCTTATAAAAGTATATTTCTTACAAAAAGCCTTCGCAATCTCGCAAAACACATTTCGGACGTAATGAACGAAAATAGTGAAAGGAAATCATATCCTTCCAAGTAATAAGTCTCGCTAGAAACAAACGGTAAATGGGCAAGTGTGAGTCGTAAAGCAAAACTTTCGTTAGTGGTATTTATATTTACAAAGGATCAAAGGTTTTATTATCGTATGTATTTTGAGGCTGCCTCAGTACAGCCCCTGATATAGACTTGGCAGGTTTCAAAATTAATTGCGAATTCACAAAACCTCTGTCTGTCTATGGTTGCTTTTTACAGAAGCTCCGTTGTATAAGAGTTGAGCTTTCAAAGTTTTACATTTAGTTATTTGAACATGACTTAAGTAATTTCGAAACCCATACGTTAATTTGTAATTTATTTAGAACTAGCTTTTCTCTGCATTTCCGCCCGCCTGTATGTCAGTTATAAGCGGTAAAATGTAGCCTAGATTACTCGCTGATAATGTATCTGTAGAAGGCTGAAACCTCCTTTTTAAGGAGAGGCTTAAGTCCAGCATTGGACTACTAAAGGCTAACGATGAATGTAGCTTTCCATTGGTGAAAGACCGTTTTAAATTGGTTTAGGAGTTTAGAAGTTAAATACACTTTAAACAAACAAACAAACTCAGTTTCACATTTATAATAAATGTATGGATGAGGGTTTACACTATTAATGTTGATATTTTTGTTAAAGGGAGTTACAGAACACTTTATTTCAGTTGATCAAAGCTGTTTAATTAGTGTGATAACTGTTGCGAAAATTATCGTGAGTTTTAATGAAATCTCTTCGTAAACAGGAGTTTGCGAAATAGATAAACGATGTTTCATTTACGGTACCCTAAAACCTGAAGCCTGAAACTTACCGCCCGTTGCTCAAAGTATACTCGCTGAAATTTGAGTAATATTTTTTTCTTGTTTTACAAATGTTTACTACTGACAAAATGAGGTCGGAAAAAATATTTAAGGATGATCGAATTTAGGTGTGATGTACACCGGCGGCACAAATTTATTCAGTTGAAGTCGTTGGAGGTACCAAGAGATTTATTAGTAATCACTGATAGGGCGTGATCGAAGTGCGAGAAAATGTCCGCGGTTAAGATTGTGTTGATTGAACTCTTGGCTTATCGATCGTGAGACATGGACGAGACTATCACTTTTTTGTTTGTTTTAACGTGCCTATTGGTTTTTGGTTTGGTACTATCATTAAATGCTTGGAGGAGTGTTCCAGGTTATGTTTTAAGAAAACTAAAATACCTAGTTGTAAAAGAAGACGGACTATAGAGATAAACACAAATAAAGCACTACCTCAGTGTGTAGCCAACCTTAGACGTTCTTATTTGGTTTGTTTTTGGTAAACTACGCAGTGTTACGTGATAGACGTGTAGACGTCTACGCCGTAGTAGACTACGGTTTATATTCGTAGCATATAATGCCAGAGCGTAGCAATACTTTGTTGTTATTACTGAGTTCTTATCGTTAAAAGTAGGTATTTTATAACAAAATTATGAACACGTCCCATATATTTTATTAATACACCCGTGCCTCACCACAGTTCGAACAGAATTTAGTTGTTTATATTTACAGATCTATTAACCTATTAAGTAACTTCACCATGACACCACTGAGGCCAATGGTGTCATGGTAAAGTTAAATTCATAGAACTTTTATTCTGTGCCCTATTACTTCATAGAAGGATATATATTACATCTGTTGGTATAGACATTTATCTGGTCTGACCGTCTACTTACCACACTACAGGATCATACAGCAAAAAACACCTTAAGTAATTACTCACCAGTGCGAATTACAATATCATCACTTACCTGAAACAAAAAGCAAAAATTTGTTTAAAAAAAAAACAACACATTTTCCAGTTGAATATTTTTTTTGTCGAATTAATTGATTTTTAGTAGGAAAAAAAAACAGTGAATTCGCTAAACTAAAGCTATTTAATTAAGGTTTTTTTTTAATTAGTTGAAAGATACATTCACGTACAAAGCTAATTAAATTTTTTAAGGGTTCATTAGTGAGCCTTAATTATATGAACTTTCATTTGAGCTACTTCAACGGTCCACTTGCTTACACAACGTATGAATACACTAAATAAACTACCAAGAACTGAAGATCACATGGTAGTGGAAGTTCGGCTTTAAATCGTAACGGTGTTACCTTATTTTCTCCGCCAATATAACTTGATCATGTTGACCGACGTATAGTGATAGGTCAACATGAAACTAGACGAGTTAAGCATGGAGTAATCCTCTCTATGCAATTTCTAAATTTATCACACATATCTTTTTATATATAATGCGTCTGTAAGTGTATATATGACTGAACTCGACCTAAACAGCTTGTTCGATTTTGAAAAGTTTGTTTCAGTGGATTCGAAAATGGTTTAGATTCACAATTCGGTCCACTATAAAATGTTTTTTAAGACGTGTGTACAGAACAACGTCTATCGGGTCCGCTAGTTGTTTATATAAAAATGGCTTCTGCCCTTTTTCTACACGTACATATTTGTATTTTAATTATTTAAAATTCTAATTCCTAGGTAATACGATTTAAAAACGTATATAAGGTTTATATTTTTATTATGTATACTTTACTTTCAATTTAAAATTACACATTACATTGACATTAATGGTTTTTTTTTTAAGACAACTCTCGCCTAAAGAATATATCCTGTATCGCGGGGGACTTTACTAACATACATGAAACGAACACAAAGAACACCGAGACTCAGGACAAGAATTTGTGGATCACACAAAGTACTGTCTCATGTGGGGATCAACCCGTAACACTCAACGCGGAAGCGTCGATTTAACCATTTAAATCACTACGCCATCCGTACATGTATGGTATGTCAAATTTAGTTAAGCATTACTCTATTTTATTTACAACAATTTCAAAATGAAATCTAAGCGAATCGAATCAAAATACCCATTAAAAAAGAATCAGAACAGTGCTTCCATTCGACACAAACTTTACTCATTCGCAATAGGTTGCGCAATCCAAGAAAACAACAATTAACAAAGAAACAATTACTGTAATTTAAGAGCGGGGGTGAGTTACTATTACGGTGTTACATTTAACACACAGATCCAGATTCCAGGGCCAAGTTCTGAGAACCGGGAGAAAGTTCGCTCGTCCTCTTTACGACGCATTCTGTTAATTCTCGCCACTAGACAAAACATAGACAGAACTTCAATGCGGCAGATGATGTCAAGTCGAATCTTATTTTTTGTATTAATCTTCAAAATGATAGAAGCGGTACATTTTTGTTGGAAATACTATAGTTTTATATTGTTCTTTGCTATTGCATTCATATTCATATTTGATGATGATTATAATATATCAAAACAATAAATTGATAATGCAGGACAATTCGAGCTGTACTTTAAGATGTTATATTTAATGATACAGATGAAATAATTTATTTGAAACCTAGCTATCCACCCTTTTTTTTCCTGTGCTAAAATCCCCTCGAATACCACCCATCGGTCGGATGGTTATGGTCGAACTCAAACCGACCAAAAACCGCACGCCGTCTCGGGTACCGGTTGCCGGGAAACCAGGTTGTACCCTAGAAAGGAAATCCTTGGTACCCCGGCGTACCTCGGGCCATACGAACCGAGATATTCTTAATTCTTAATTTCAGAGTCATATCGACACTTTATATGTAAATCAATATTCCGCTTTTAGAGTAAACCAGCAATATTTACAGTATTTTTAATTTGTACACGTATCAACACACGGCCGAATGTGAGCGGTCACTTTGAATTATTTTACATCAGAATAGCCTCAGTTATGGCTAGCTGTGCAAACTCTGTATCTTTAATAACTATGAATAGAAGTCTATTTTAACAGTAGAAATGTCACGCATGGATTCACGTAATTAAATTACTGCACTCTTTTAAAAAAATATGTTTCCAATAAAAGTTTTTTATATTTTACAGAGTTGCTTTCTAAAGTTGTCTGTGACAACCATGGCAAGGAACTCAATGTATTATTTGAGTGTCCGTGAAAGAAACTTGCAATCAAATTACACAGTATTATTTGCTTTTAAAGATATTAGTTGCCGAAACAACTGTTCAAATAATAATAAATAAATTATACTGATATGCTTATTACTAAATACATTTATGGCTCGAGATAAATTACGAGTACATACACAGAGACAGAACAGATCACACTGCGTACAGGTGTGACGATAAAAACTACCTACAGGCATTATTTGAGTTAATTTATGTTATTTTTGTTGTTCCTTTTTAAATACATAAGAAAGAATCATATAATGATCTTTATGGCTGAAAGTCAGAATATTCAGAAATGTTAATTACATTCCCTAGAGCGTGCAATGGGCGGTTTGTAATATTATGTAAATGTGTGCAGCCATGCTTATCCTCTGTTATCTTATTTAAGTTTAAATATTTAAGACTAGAATCGCCCCGAGAGCTTCATTATTTTCTCATCGAGACTTTACTTTAATTTTGACGTCCTATTTGTTGTATATTCCTTTATTTTTATGTTATCAGTCATCCCGGATAGTAAATAGATATCAGTATCTATAGACCCGATACCAACCTATCTGACCAGCGTGGTATAGCCAAAACCTCTTTTCTAAAGAGAGGTCTATGTCCAGCAGTGGACTATTAAAGGCTGTCGGTGATGATGATCAGTTGACTCGTAATAAAAGCTAAGTTTTTCACGTTTTCCCAATCTAAGGCACTGCTAAAGATTACAAACATATATTCAGTCGTAATGGAAATGCAACATAATTTTGTAGCCCGCAAGAGTGGTTTTAGTGGGGCAACTTCTGACTCGGGTAAAAAAGTAGGGATGTCCTTTCTTAAAATCTTATAACTTAACTTTTCTTCACTAAATAGACATCAAATCCGGTGTCAAGCGGGAAACATTTTATTTCAGGTTTTTTTTATTTCATCTTGATAATATTATTATAGTGTGTGCGATGTTGAAGTTATTATTATTATTATTAAATGCAAATATAATAATATACACAGAAAAGGCACATGAAGATGTGCAATATTGATTCTCAGAAATGGGAGGAAAAGGCCAGTTGGAGGTTTCCTCACTTGCAGACAATGCTCGCCAACGTTCACTAACAGGATTGGATACTGTAGCCATTAAAGGGCATATGCGAGAGCTAATCATCCTAGCTCCTCTGCTAATAATTAACAACAGTTACCATAAAATCGGCTGGTAAGGAAAAGAGAGAAGAGAAGATTGTTATAAATAGTAATAAGTGTTTTAATAGTAATAATTCTGGAAGGCCTTATTATAATCATTTTAACCTAAAACATGTGCACACAAAATGATTTCAAATTAATGTATTCCATGTTTGAATTATCTATTTAGTCCGTCTTACTTTCCTGACTCCAAAATTAAATAGAAGTGATCTCTTTATCTTTCTTTTTCTCTCTATCTTTTTATATACATACAAAAATAATATATTTAGAAGATATATTTTAATATTTGTAATTGTTATCGTTTTATTTAATTATCACAATTTAGTGATCTTACTACAAAAATCAAATACTAAAAGCAAGTTATACTTCTGAAATTTCCTTGTACTGCGAATAGTGAGTTACATATTCGCTTAAAATACTGCTAAGATAATTATTTCTCCGTGATTTGCAAAAGCTAAGAGTAAACTTGAGTACAATGAAATTAAATTAAAATTTCCTCCGTTACTGCTTTTGTTGTTCCAAATTAAATGTGGTACATGTTCTTTGATTACATTAAGTAAACATCTTAAAGATAATACTATTAATTTCATATTCTCTTCACAAACACTTTAATGAAAGCTTCTTGAGACGAATCGAACGAAAGCCCACACGATTAATTCGGTTTTCGTTGTAGTACATTACAAGTAAGAATGAAAAAAAAATCAATAACTCGACTGCAAAAGGACTATTTAAAAGTAAGTACCTAGATGACCGAGTTTTGCTCGGTATTTTTGTTTGGTAAATTGTCTAAAAATGAAACCTAGCTAGATTGGTCAATCGCAACCGGAACCCAATGCATATCTACTAAATTTCATGAAATTTTTTGGAGCCAGATTATATATAAATATATACAAGAATTGCTCATTTAAAGGGTGCACTAAAAACACGGAAACAGCAACGAGGTCCAACACAAGCAGTTTTGCGCAATCAAACATTTCTCAAAAACCAATTTATTATTCCTTATTTAATTTAAATATAGGTACTAATATATATTTTTGTAATTCAATTTAATCTTCTTAATTTTGATACCCTACTTGATAGTTGTTCTTATTTTTTTTTTTAACCTATTACTATTTTGCATCAAATATTTGTTTTTTCTTTTAAAGAGTCATCTCAGGACACTTGAGTTTTTGAGACGAATAAAACAATACATTAACTGTCGAAATCTATCTAGCCATTGGGAAGATACGAGGTAATATAGAAATTTTCAAAAGAAAACATACCAGATACGCGCGAAAAACATAACCCTTCCTTGGCAGTCGGGTAAAAATACTCATAAGTTTAATAGTGCAGACAGTAACTCCATCTGTTGTATAGAAACAGTAACTAAAACCAGTCTAATAAAACTTTTTTCATGAGGTTGTGAATATAGATAGGTAAGACAGCAAGGCAAAGCGTTACTTAACGTGAACACCCTTCCAGAGATGGCGCTGTAAAAATGTATGCAACGCCATCTTGTTGAAGATATTCTCAACTTTGTTGGCATATCCTGTTGTGGAGAGTATAGCGTTTACTTTGTCTTTCGTTATTTTCAGTAGCATATTAATGCCTGTAACAATTCACAGATGTCGCTTTTTTAATCTTTTCCAACAACATGGTCCTTCCATTTGATTGGGTCAATTATTCGTGTTACTAAACATATGATACGTTAGGTGTTATGGAAGTATGTAATGTTAGTTATGATAAATACCTTTAACAGATGCGGATCTCGCTCAGCAGCATCCAGCAGCGACTCTGCTTCACTCAGCCATGCGACGAAGTTCTCCAACGAACGATCGAAGTTCTGCAGCGATGACACTGCTGAGTGCAGTGCTTTACCGCGAGCTACAATACTGTAGACAAAATTCGAATTGAATATTGCACCAACACATACAATACTGTATTTTTTTTTGGCAAAAAAGAGAAAAGGTCCAATCATTTTCACATAGATTCCTTAAGGATGTCTAATTTACGCAATAGATGTCAACTTTTTGAAATATTTATCATTAATAATATTCGTAAAACATAGGTAGGTACATACAACATATTACAACGTGACATATGATAGAATAAAAAGGTATATTATTGTACTCTAATATAATGCAACATGAAATATCGGAGTTGATAATTCTATCGGTTCCAGTGTTTTAATTAACGTTGTTACTTTAATAAACAGTTTCCTTGTGAATTATTCATGATTTGTTATCCCTCAAGGTAAATATTTCTACGTTAATTTATACGGAACCCTATTGAATATTAAATGTTTGAATAATTTAAAAACAACAACGCAACATAAACAAAAACATTGCTGCCAACATCTAATCATTCTACGTATTTCGTACTAATTGCTAGGTGGCACTATTTTAAAACTTTATTTTTTGTTGTATTACACTATCAAGAGTATTACGTATTTATATTATATTTTAATACGTAATACGACAAGTCTTAATTTGTCTAAAATTTAATGAAAGTTATTATGAATCGCTTACCTATTATTGAGCTCATTATATCTATGGTTAATGGCCTCTGTGGAGCGCTTGATGCGTGTGGTATCATCATTGCGATACACGGCGATCAGTCGCTGAGTCAGTTGGCCAAACAGCTCGATCTGGTGTTTGTACTGATGAACTTCTGCGTGGAATGACTGGAACAAGGAAAAATAATAACATTTTTGATTAAAATTACATTCTACAACAATTTCAAGTCCCAGAAATGAGTATAATAAATTCAAGTGGGTTTTATTTTTAAGTTCAGTTGAGCGCCATCTAATTGTAAATTATAGAACTTATGACGCCAACAAGATTCCAAATTCTACCGCTAGGTGGTTAACAGATAGGACGATCGGCCCTTCTGATAAAATTTAATATTAATTATGTTATCATGTAGATAAAAATACGCTTATAATGTTTATTAGTAATAGGAAATTACCTTTGTAATTACACGTTTCACTGGTAACTACTAAAAAATCAGTAATATATCGGTTACCTTTATCACTTGGAAGAATTAACTTGTAGATACAAGTAGGAATCATCAGAAATGAGGAAATAACCCTACTGGTTATGTATTTGAATCTTCAAAACAATATTTTACAATTGATCAAAAAAATGTATAAATCTTTAAATAAACAAATCAAAACACGGGGATTTTCCCGCAAAATGTTTGATTATTTCCTCTCGTATGCCTGCTAGGAATAATATGTTCTTAGGGAATAGAACAACAAGTAACAGAATGGAGTATAAATTTTTGCAACCGTTATTGAGGTGTAAATTATAAAAACTTTCCAAGGTGACATATTTTATAGGCAGTTTATGAAAAGAAGCGAAAGTTGAAAGAAAGCTCATTTATTCTTTTGTTTAATTTTAAACCCTACGGAGTCCATCACTTTCTTCACATTTAAAGAGACCAATTTAAAAAAGTATTATTGAAAACAATTCTAAATTGTTAAGAAATCGTCGTGTAACGTACACAAAAAAATATTGAGTCAAACTGAGAACATCCTTATTTTTGAAGTCGAGTAAAAGCCATATGATCGACTGAAAAGCGATGATATATATCGACCAGTAAACAAAATCGTGGTGATTTTATACTAAACACATACACATTTATAACATATATGTATGTTCACAGATATTTGATTATGTCTCTATATAAAATTTTGAAAGTCTTAATGTCACAAATAATTCAATAACATATTAATGAAATAAGAACACAGAAAACGTACAAGGTAAAATAGCGCCAAGTTCCCTTAAGTATGCAAAGCGGAATTTGAATGGGCCTGACGGAGCCCCAATTAACTTGGATTTATGGCTCATACGGGCCCCTAACTTGGACTAACTTATCTAAGTAATATCGTCGGGAGGACACTGTCTCCGTTAATATGGCCCTTGAAGGAGGAGGGATTAAAAGTTTCTGACGTTAAGAGGTTCGGTTTCAATTTGCGCCAGTACAAATAAATAGTTGATTTCGCCCTGGAGGGAGAATTCAACTATCAGCAACACAATATAGCCCTTGTGGGTACGTTTTCATCATAAGATTGAAAAATATCTTTGCTATGCAATATCGTACAAACGTTTCTGAGGAAGAAAATATTTCAAAGTTGCGTATTTATGTATTATCTCCGTGTGGTGACGGATTAAGAATACGGAGTGTCATTACCCCTATTCATCCCGTGGGTGTTGTAAGAGCAAACTAAGGGAGCAAACTCTGCAGGACAACAGCACTGCAAAGAGAAGGAAAACTTGACACGAACCCTTTTTTTGTTTTTTTTTTTTAACGTGTGGAAATCCCCTCGGACCGTCACCCCACCGGGGTTTGCGGCGGGGTGGTGTGTCGGACTCGGACCGACTAAAACTACACGGTGTGCCACTCTGCGCCTGTAATAGGAGGGATCCGGGAACAGCTGTTATTAAGACATCCGGACCCCTCCTAGCGCCGGCCCGCTCCAGTTGCGGGCCCCGTCTCAAAATTGTTCCTCTCTTTAGGCGACGTCCGGCACACGCGGACGCCGCCCCCTCGCGGCTGGCCAAACTAATGCGGGTGGAGGGGAAACCCACCCCGTCCACCCGCGGCCACACTCAGGGCGGCATGAGGCGGTGATAGGCGCGCCTCCGCCGCCCGGTTCGGGTCCGGGTGGAGGTCGTCCTCCCGGGCCTTCTCCGCCGCCTCCTTCTGCGAGATTACTTCCTCGCAGAAGGTTGCGACCGCGGTAAAACAACTGTCGCTACCGGCCATGGAGCGTACTAAGGCCGGTAGCGAGAGATCCACTCCGATGACTGCAGTGAGGGCCCGGCGCTGCGTCGCCCATGCGGGGCAGACCGCCAGCGTGTGCTGGGCCGAGTCCTCACTGCAGTCGCAGTGGTGGCAGGCGGGACTCAGTTCCCTCCTAGCGACCGAGTGCAGGTACTTTCCGAAGCAACCGTGCCCGGAAAGCACCTGCGTCAGCCGGAAGGTAAGGGTCCCGTGCTGCCGCCCTGCCCACTCGGTGATGACCGGCTGGAGAGCCTCCACGGCGGCGAAGCCAGCGCGTGGAGTCTCCAGCCGAAACGACCAACGAGCCATCGTGGCTCGGCGAGCGGCTTCGCGCCACTCGCGCACATCCTCGGGCGGGGGGCGAAATCCGCTCTCCGCCCGGGAGTCAGCCACTCGCCGATAAACTTCGGCGAGCACTTCCGCCTCCAAATCCCACGGGGGAGTTCCGGCCAACGCGCACGCCACCTCCGTCGACACGGTGCGGTAACCGTGTATGGCTCTGACCGCCATTACCCTCTGAGGGCGCCAGAGGCGTGCCCTATTCTGGGCGGTCAGAGCCGCTGCCCACACCGGTGCACCGTATAGTGCCATTGACCGGACAACCCCCGTGTACAGCCGTCTTGTCGCGACGCTGGGTCCACCCAAATTGGGCAAAAGTCGCCCTAGGGCAGACGCAGCGCCGACCAGCTTTGGAGCAAGCTGTCGGAAGTGCTCGTCGAAGAGCCACCTCCCGTCGAGGATCAGGCCCAGATATTTCATCTGGGCCCAAACCGGTACGAGGACCGAGTTGACCACGATTGAGGCGCCAGGGGGTGGACCACGACGGGGCCCATGAAATAACAGGGCCTCCGTCTTATCTAGGGCCACCCGTAAGCCCAGCGCCTCAATGTGCCCGACCATCAGGGAGACTCCCCTTGTGGCCAGGCGCGCCGCCTCTTGTAAGTTTGCCCCCCGGGCTGTCACCAGGGTATCGTCTGCGTAACAGATTACACCCAGACACGAACCCTATACCAACCCGTCTGGCCAGCGTGGTATAGTAGGCCAAAACCTCCTTTCTAAGGAGAGGCCTATGTTCAACAGTGGACTATCAAAGGCTGTTGATGGGTGTGTGTGTGATGTATATTTTACAAAGTAATCTCTTACATTGTAGCTTAAGTTTTAACTTTTTCAAAGTCATAATTGTCATCTTGATATGAGGGGGAAAAAAAAAAAAAGAAAAAAAAAACCGTTTATAAATATAAATGTTTTGCGGGGAGTTTGTCCTGGGCAGGAATCGAACTCCCGACCTCTGGCTTAACAGACAGAAGCACTAACCGCTAGACCAATAGGCCAGAAGAAATAAAATAACAAAGCACTCACACAATCTTTTTTGTATGTTATGTTAGAGGGGACAGATGAGCAGACGGGTCACCTGATGGAAAGTGACCACCGCCGCTCATGAACGTCTGCAACTCAGGAGTCACAAACGCGTTCAATCTATGTAAGTTCACTTCAGTTTCATACTCCATTAAACTATTGTCAAATCAAATCAGTATCTTTTGTTAAACGTCAAAACGGACGTCACAACTGGCTATTGTCAAATCCTTTATATTTAAAGTTGATATCAAGATATCAAATCGTTAAAAATATTGATAATAGAGGGCAAATGGAGGCTCTATTTTAACATTGAATGAAGCAGCCGAAACAATTTATTTGAAATCTAGATATCTACCCTATTCTCAAAAGCTTGTCTTAAGTAAATTCCATGTATATATATTTAACCTTCGTAATGGACCTTTAGGATTACGAGATCTAAATCTTTGACAAGACACAAAGCCTTTAGACAAACAGCCAGTAGCGAAATACGAATTGAAAGGATCCAATATACGTATGTATGAGGATGATACATAAACATTCGCTCATATGATATGAAGACAGTGCGATTCAGTGGCGCGGAATAACTCCCTGTGACGGGTAACACAAGTGAGAACATATCTCTCGATACGTATAAAAGGCTTTTGATTATCAATTTGAAGGAATGGGATCAGAGATATGTATTTTTTATGAACAACTAGTACTACTCCGTGACTTATTCCCAAACTAGGTTGGGGTCGGCCTTTTATGCGGAATCCAAGTACCAGACGGTATAATAAGCGCACTGAATTGACTACAGAAATATGGATTTTGCAATCGCTGTATATATTGGTCCTTCGAGCCAGATAAAATGTAGAAAGCTAAGGATTCATCTAAAAACCCATAAAACATTTACAAATTATTAGAACAACGAATCTTCTCGATAACATAAATATAGCAGCATAAAACCCTAACAAGGAAAGTAAGATGCGGAACTTAATAACGAAATATTTTAGAGCCTTCGATATTGGTCGTGGTTGGAGTCCGTGGAATTAATGAAAGCAATTCAAAGCCTGGGCTCGTGTTGGGTTAGGTCGACCTTTTTGTTCAATTTCTGATTAAAATAATTGAAGGAGTAACGACTGTCCGACAAGTATTTTAGTTCGTCTAGCCTATATCTACTTAGGCTTGAAGCTGTCAAGTACAACTGACAGTTTAACTGACTAGTCAGAGAATGAAATGGGTCTATTTAATCATTGGATTTTAATATTTTAGTACTTTTAAAAAGGACGAATAGTCTGATGGTATCATAATCTGACCAACACCAATTATATTTGGAACGAAGTTCCAAGCGTTACACGCTCTGAGCAGATGAAATAGAGACCGAAAAATGTGTAACAAGACTTTTTTCCGACACTTTTTGAGGAACTTCGTTCCGACCGGGGGCCATCGACCCTTCAAGCCGTGTTTTTAATAAGTTTAAGCACAATTGCTTGCAAAAAAAAATACCTTCTGTTCACGCAGTTGCATTTCTAGGACATCAGCGGTATTGGCTGGAGGCTGCATGGCGGCGAGGCGTGCCTCCATACGAGACAGCCACGCGTCTGCGTCCCGTCGTCTTGCCTCGTAGCGCTGCGAGTCACCCAACATCGCGTCCAGTTGCGCCTTGCGTTGTAGCACGCGAGCGTTTGCCTCATCCCAGTGCTCGCGTAGCGCTGTCACTGTGGACAAAAGAAACATAATTATTGAAGTAAAACTTCTTTACGCACGATTGACTTGGGGAGTAAGCTGGTGAATGCGTGACGAGAGCGTTACAAAAAGTGTGATCGGGAGAGGCGAACTGAAGCTGAGAGGAAGATATAAGTTAGTGGAGATAGAAAGAGAGATTGTTACATTACTGAAGTGGCAAGAGAGAGAGGTGCGAGCACACATTTTCTTTTTCTCTTTCTCTTATAGCCAAGAAGTTTTATTTCAGTGGTCTAAAGCACACTCACTTTTTTTTATTTATTTTCAAACTTACATCTATCATTACAGGTTACCTAATGCAATAGCGAAGCGTCTTTTCTTTTCTTATAAATATTATACTACCTAGGTTCGGCTACGAACATGCTACGAAGTACGTAGACTGGCCTACGTAACTTATATATTTTGCAAACGAGAATGAAATCTACAAGACTTGAGTTTACGAGGTCTGGCTATTAACATAATTTACCTATATAGTTGTTAATTATATTACTTAAAGCACTGAAATTAAGCATTTATTTCTGGACATTCATCAAATTTACTATTTAGTTAGTGAATGTTAAAACATCAGTTATAGAGTAAATGCGTATGATATACATTTCAAAAAAATTGCACTAAAACATTTTTGGACACTTGGACCTCCCTGTTCAAGTGATTTCCCACCTCTCCAATTTTAGGACGTACATACCCGTATACGCCTAAGCGACTGCGGACTCTTCGACATATTGACACAGCCTCGTTTCCGTAGCTCCCTTACCCCATCAGTTTATCTTACTTCATTTTATCGTCTTTCTCTATTCTGTCTAAAAACGATTACATTTACAAGGCAGGCTATAATCTGACAAGCAACTAGACATAAAAGAAACCAGCCCTAAAGCCTGCGTCGATCCCAAGTAAAATTGAGAAAATGGCTTGAAGGTTATTCTAGTAAGAAGGGTCGACAGATCACAGAGCTCTGTTGGGAATTTATTTTGATATAGGTAACTGCTTACCCCTTAACCCGTAAGTATTACATTTAAGACCTCAGTAAGTTAAACAATGATAATATTTGTACGTTCACCAGCTTGCAAACAAAATAAACATGGAATAGCCGTTAATAACGCTTTGTTAAAAAACAAATATATTACAATAAAAAACTTCAAATAAATAAGTCCTAAACGTACAACTAAAAACAAATTATTAATTCGAACACAAATATATTATGTAAAGTTTCCCCGCAGGCGATTCACAGAACTAAGCCATCTGAAATAATTCCACCATTCAGTTATTTAAATGTGACAAAATATCCCCCCACCCAGTAATCCCACCACAGCGTCAAACACGCCCGTCATTTTAGTTAAATTTAATGTAAATTGCGAGGTTACTATCGTTACTACATTATAGCAGTTGAAGAAAAACAGCGATGTATATCTAAGTCGATGTAATTGAAGATTGTATTACCAATTTGGGATAGTATGAGTAACTCAGCTGTGTTCAAAGACGACGTGTTTTGTAAGCAAATACAACGTGGTTTCGTGCTAAATTGGTTTTTAACACTAAGAACAAGAACAGTCTCACAATGTGACAGGCGTGTGATTTTAATTTGAGTAATATTTGGAATGAGGTGTAACCTACATTAAAACTACAGTTGTTAAAATATAATAGTCATCATTCTAAAGACTTCAAAGAAAAAGATTCTGTCTTCGATCCCTTTGTACGTTGGTGTGTTTGCATATACCTATGTATGTGTGTGTGTGTGTGTGTGTGTGTGTATGTGTGTGTGTGTGTGTGTGTGTGTGTGTATGTGTGTGTGTGTGTGTGTGTGTGTGTGTGTAAATATCTAATACCTTTAAACGAGCAATTCTTGTATATATACAATCTGAATCTCAGAAACGGCTCCAATGATTTTCATGAAATTTAGTATATAGGGGGTTTCAGGGGCGATTGATCGATCTGCCTAGGTTTCATTTTTAGAAAATTTCCAAAAAGAAAAAAAATCGTACAAAGCTCGATTTTCCAGGTACTGAATGCTTATATGAAAGCATGTTTGTAGGTATTTTTGTATATAGCGACTTTCTTAAAAAGGAATAGAAACTTTTTAATTAATTTCATAGAAGTTAATTTTACTTTGATTAATGAAAAATTGCAAAATGATTAGTACCTCCATCAGATTTCAACTTTGAATTTATTTTATATGAGTGGAACCGACTAAAACCACAAGGTTTCTGGCAAAAGGTTTATTACTGGGCAAAATATGGAGCCGGAAGTTCTATAATGAATGTTTAATGGTTGCTGCTGCCGCTTAAATAATAATGGATTTGTGCGAGAATCGCAAAAACAACCAACTTTATCCCCCCCTTGAAGTTATAATGGGGTCAAACTGATGACAAATTAGGCGTAAAAAGCACCTTTGTTATGGTGAGGGGTCACCTGATGGTAAGTGACCACCGTGCACACCTACAATTACTCAAGAGTTACAAGTTTGTTGTGACCCTTTGAGTTTCCCCTTCCCAGTAATAGTTGAAGGGGGTATTTTGGGTTCCAGTAACAAGTTCTCCGGGAGTCCCACACACGTCCTTCGTTTTCCCCAACGGAGGGTATGGTGCGAAAAGCATTACCCGCGTCAAAAAAAAAGTGTATAAGTATAATTTCCGTACTATAGTTAATACTGATCTCCTAAGTTAGACAGGTATTTGTACTATCTCCTTCATCAAAAGAATGATGTAATGTAATTCAAGACGAACCCTTAAATATAATATTAATGAAATAATTATATTTTGATCTAGCAAAGGTTGTAAAGAGAATTATTAATAACGTCCAGCAATAATAAAGAATATTTACAGAGAGCATAATTGTGCCTTGATTATATTTAATACTAGCTGTGCATACCGCGCCCTCTTTCGCGTGGATGTTTAAGTTTCAACCCGGACACCTAATTCTCTTACTAAAAAACAGTAATCTAAGTTACGCGGTATACCGTCAATATGAAAATAGGTCCATTTATAGCATTGATTAGCCAGAACACAGAGACAGATACGAAATAGGACCATGTAGACAACACGCAAAGATAGGTATTTCTAAAAACATCTCTTCATTAGTTCCCTCCGAGCGGCGTAATTTTATTTATTTTTTCTTTTATTTTAAAAAGACAACTCCCGCATTAGGAAGAAATCATGTGTCGCGGGAGACTTTATAAACACACACGAAACGGACACAAAGAACACCCAGACTCAGAACAACAATTTGTGGATCACACAAAGTGTCGTCCCATGTGGGGTTTGAACCCACAACACTCGGCGTAGTAGGAAGTGGCGTGGCGACAGCTTAAACCACTACGCCATCCGTGCAGTCTATATAACCAATGTGTGCTCCTTCAGAGCTGTTCGATAATTTCACCAACAGTTTGAGCAAACAATTGCAATACCAACACAACAGAGAAAATTTATGAAACAAATAATAATTTAACACAAGCATTAGAACAAATCCCGCACAACCAATATATGACTTTTATGAATTATATATTAAGCAGTCAACCTTCTAGATCATTTGAATTTCAACTTTAATGCTTTGAAAATAAAGTTTGAAATGCAAAAACACAGCATGAGTAAGCATTCCGTAAGCCCCATAGCCCATGCATAAATAGACATGTTTATGTTATTCACGTGAGTTTCCTTGTAATTCGGGAGACAATTTAACGTATCTGTTGATGTAATTTACTGAAGATTGTTAGGACCGACAGCGGACGGGACTGTCTGTCCTACCGTTAAACTAAGTTTCAATAAATAAAAAACGCGAAGACTTCAATTTTCTAGTTTGCAGTCTTTAATATTATTTGTTATTTACTTCTTGATTGTTCAAAGTTTCTAGATGCTGGATCCTTGATAACTTAAATTAAAAGTTCTTCCGTAAAAAGATGAACAAACAGACGCTGCCACTTAATCCTGTTATTGAACACACGGTTATTTTCTGCAACTTATAAGGTAAAACCTTTATCGCGTTTCAATAAAAACCTTTAATGAAATATTCTAACTATACATACGAGTATTTGGTTTAGACTAAACGTTATTCATAATCTTTTTCGTATATATTATTTCTTATTTCGTATTTCTAACTTTGAAAATTACGAACTGCCACAAAACCATTCCATACCCCCTTATTATTAAAAAATCTACAAATCCTTTCTTTGTGTAGTTTAGCATAAAAAGTATTAACTGCCAAAATTTCAAGTTTGTAGCGACAGCGGTTTAGGTTGATTGGTGCATTGATGAATGGGTCAATCAGTCACGTAAAGTAATTCTTTTATATGTATAGATGAGAGATTTGGATTAATAGGCTATGTCGCTAATCAATCCCTATCTTGGTCAGATCCTTAGCTTCACAAAAGATTCACCCCATCCAAAATTTCGGTATCCATTTTTTTTACCCTAATTTACTTTCTTCCGTTTAAAAAAAGTCAAGGTTTAATTCCCGAGTCGGACCAAAAGTTTGTATGATCTGCAAATATTTGTTTCGGAGCTTGTGTGTTATCTATGTGTAATATATATGTATTTACAAAAATAAGTATTCTATCAGTGAATCTAGCTTTCATAATACAGATTCTGCTTAGTTAGAAACTAGATGGCGTTGTGTGTTAGATGTTCAAAGATATTTATTATTATTATTATTAAATCCCGATGACAAAAATTTGGGAACGGGATAGAAAGATGATAATAATATGAACAGATAATGACTACGTGTGTATCAAGCGATATGTTTTATCAAGCGATTGATATTTACAATGCACGCTGTGTTCTAAATAGTTAATCATTTATCAAAACGAATCCATAACGTTAAAAACATTTAACGTTATGGAAAAAAGTTCACTAATTTTTGTTAAAGATCAGAAAATACATTTTAAGTAAACTTCAAAGTTCTTCTATGGTTAGCGATATATAGAAGAAAAAATCAAAATAAAAACATAACTTTTTACTTAAGAGTCTTTCATGTACAACATAAAACAACCAACACAAATTTAACTCAATCCAACATCAACTTTATTTAATTTCTTTACAATTTTAATTAGCAGATAAGGTTAATTGTTACTAAAACATTAAAATAATATCAACAGGAAAATAAACGTTTATTAGGTTATTACTGTTAATAACGTTATAAAATAACAGGTTACAAAGTTATATCGAACCTTTCAACAGAGACCGCAAGTGTAACAGCGGTGCACTAGTTTTTGACACCGGAAAACCTGTTATGTCCGCTGAAATAGAAATATACTAAATATACTAAACATACAGCGTATATAAATACATATATAATACTCTTTTATGATCACACTAATATTATAACGGCGAAAATTTGTGATCAATTTTGATAAAAAATTTTTTGGTAATTAGCTGACGCCCTGGATTAAGACATAGACAACTTTAATCTCAAAAAATCAAGTGTTCTCGCCGTACGCATCTATCATATGCGATATCACATAAAAAGAATGAGTGAAATCAGTTCACAAATAGCAGAGATATCATCTAATATACAGGTATATATAAAATTCTCGTGTCACAATGTTCGTTCCCGTACTCCTCCGAAACGGCTTGACCGATTCTCATGAAATTTTGTGTGCACATCGGATAGGTCTGAGAATCGGCCAACATCTATTTTTCATACCCCTAAATGGTAAGGGTGACCCATCCCTAATTTTTTTTTGTTTTGCAATACAACGTTTGCCGGGTCAGCTAGTACAGGTATATAATATAA